AAGTGTGCAAGACCTTATCCCAGTGACCAGGAGATACTCATGATGTGATGAAGTATCACCTAGTATCTGTGAATATCCATCACTAATGAATTTAAAAATGGCCTCTGAATTGTTTGGGTTACCAATTTTTCATATGCTTGCATGTATGCATTTAGTTTTTATTTCTCTAAGGAAATTATGCTTCCTATGGTAAATTTTGAAAGTTCTTTTTTCAAAATTTTAAATAATGTGATGGCATTTTTCCTCTTAAGATGAGAATTTAAATGATTTTGCAGTATGTAGTAAGTTTGTACATAAAAAAAATTATTTTGAGTATGTAGTGAGTTTGTACATTAAAAAAATCTAAATATCTACCTCTACACATAGATAGATTGATAGATAGATTGATAGATATAGATACATAGACAGATAATGGTAAATAGATAATGTATGTATATAAATGTTTACCTGACAAAAAAGTTGCTTTGCACTGAGTCTGGTAGAAGGCCATTTTTAAAAATTCCATCTCTCATTCAAATACCTTTTTTGTCACTGAGAAATGCACCTTTTGATATATTGTGAAGTTCTTGCACTTTGAGCAAATGTAGAGGAAAATGGGTATTGAATCATAGAAAACTACATCATATAGACAGTCTACATGAGAAAAAAATGTGAATGGAAACAGAAAAACAAAATATCCTTTATTTTCAAGAAAAAAAAAATCTTTTCTGCTTTCCACAAATTTCAAAATATTTGAGTTTTAATTTTTTTATGAAATGTCTTTGCACATAGATAGCTCTGCAAGTGCTTAGCCACAAAGGAGTCAATTAAGAGACCTTGTGATTTATTTTTTTTTACTAATGCTAGCAATATCAAAGGTGTTATTTTCATTAGAGACATTATAATCTATTTTAATGAATCTGACATTAGTAACAGCAATATAAGAAAGAATAAAATATTTTTGAAAATCAAGGTACAAGGTAAACAGGTGAGACAAGTAGTACTCATAATTGGCTCATTGGTGACTTAGTACAATTGGAGCCATCTATGTGTAAAAACAATTAATAAAGGAAACTCACATGGGTATGGCACATAGTACATGCCATGCCTCTTGGTTTTGGGTTAACCCATTGCCGCCGGGGAAAATGAACAAAAAATGGGGGAAATGCAGTACTCATTTTTTATATTTTTGTGAAATATCTCTGTCCATAGATGGCTCTGCTAGTCCTGATTTCACCTGAATTGTCGGGAAAAAACGTATTCTTACTAGTGCTATAAATATAGATGGTGTTATTTTTAACAGCAAATTAGGATAACGTTAAATATTTTTGTAAATCGATGAAAAGGGTGTACAGGCGAGACAGGCAGTACTCGTAATTGGCTCATTGGATACTTAGTACAAGTGTAGCCATCTATGTGTAAAAACAATCGAACAAGTCGACTCACAGTGAGCATGGCATGTACGTACATGCCATCCCCGGCGGCAATGGGTTAAGCACAACAAAATTGAAAATAAAAAAAGGACAGTCCCCTTAGGCAAGAACTATGTCGTCTCCAATCATTTTCAATATTCCTTTCAATAATCATCATGAATAATGTCCAATACTATATTAAACCCATTCCCGACGGGTGTCTCGTATCCATGACATGCCCACTGAGAGTTTACTTGTTTAATTGTTTTTACACATAGATGACTACACTTGTACTTGTACTGCCTGTCTCGCCCATTTACCCTTTTCTTTAATTTACAAAAATATTTTACGTTATCTTATTTCACTATCAATAATGTTTATAATATTATAGTAATTGTAATGTTTATAATAAAAATAACCATCGATATTCATAGCACTAGTAAAAAATATATTTTCCCGCCAATTCAAGGATATGTGAAATCAGGTAAGGCAAAAAAAAAATAAAAAATGAGCACAGCATTTTCCCCTTTTTGTTCATTTTTACCCATCGCAAATGGGTTAAAGCCTAAAAAAATGGTTAAGAATGAAAGCTCTTTCTACATAACAATTTCATTCTTACTTACCAGAAGTAATTGCAGCTTGTTTTGGAACATCTATGGCAATTTCCTTTAAGCTTTGTACATATTTGACTCGGTCTAAGAAAGGAATCAGTACATTAATTCCAGGTTCAAGTATCCGATGGAATTTTCCCATTCGTTCCACAACCCAAGCCTGTCAGTAAAAAAGAAAATATAGGTCTAAATAGAGACATCCTGATATACTGAAAAAGCAGCTGAAAATCAAATATGATTAGGAATAACTGACATAAGATTAAATTATATGATGGAAAAAGCCATTTCAGCATGGAATTCACTTAAGGCCCTCTACTTCTGTGCAATTCAGGCACAGTACAATTTTCCATCAAGCATAAACAAATATTTAGTAAAACATTTAATTTCTATTTAAAGCAAAACTACTCTCAATTTACAATGAGGCAATAACTGAATCTTTGCCAAAATTTATAACTAGCTGTTCTTAAGTTGCTATTATTGAGTTTTGTACACTATTTAGATGTAAACTGGTTCAGTATCTAACCAATTATGTACAGCACTCAGTCATGACAAGCCCATGTTCTAATACCTAATCATCAAATTGGAGTTTTTGCATCTACTCCATTTATACTACTTCATTTGTTTTACTCAAAAAAATATGTACAAGCACAAACTATTAAATGGTTTCCTACATCATTAGATAACTAAAATGAATTCAGAATTTGTAATGATGATGTATAATTACAGACCTCTTGTTGTGGTACAAACAGCACGACAGTGTTAAGAGGCAAATGTGATCTGTTTCTCGCTGCCTGTAGTGCAGGTGAACTTCGCACTTCCTGTAAAAGATATGGAAAAGTAACAACAATAAAATTTAAAAAAACAACACTAACACTAACAATAACAATAAAAACAATCATAATAACAATAATGATAATAATAACAGCAATAACACAAAACAACAACAACAATTACAACAAAACAAGAAGAGCAATAATAATAATAATAATAATAATAATAATAATAATAATAATAATAATAATAACAATAACAATAACAATAACAATAACAATAACAATAACAATAACAATAATAATAATAATAATAATAATAATAATAATAATAATAATAATAATAATAATAACAATAACAATAACAATAACAATAATAATAATAATAATAATAATAATAATAATAATAATAATAATAATAATAATAATAATGACAATAGTATTAACAATAATATTAACAATAATAGCAATAACATAAAACAATAACGATAACAATGAATCAACTGCAACAGTGACAATGAGTGACAGTGACAATGAGAATAACAATGAGAATGATAATAATAATGATATAAGATAAAAGATAATAACAGGATAATAATAATGATATAAGATAAAGATAATAACAATGATAATAAACACTACTAACATGATTCAAACACAAAATGACTGTCTGATCTCTTTGACTGATTATCTGTCTGTCTGACTGATTACTGACACACAACAGACATAGATAGATAGATCTTGATTGATAGATAGATAGATAGATAGATAGATAGATAGATAGATAGATAGATAGATAGATAGATAGATAGATAGATAGATAGATAGATAGATAGATAAATAGATAGATAGATACATAGATAGATACATAGATAGACAGACAGACAGACAGACAGATAGATAGATAGATTGGTAGGTAGGTAAGTAGACAGACAGATTGATTGACTGATTGATTGATTGATTGACATAGATAGATAGATAGATAGATAGATAGATAGATAGATAGATAGATAGATAGATAGATAGACCGACAGGCAGATATATAGATAGATTGACTGATAGACAGATAGATAGGTAGATAGATAGACAGGAAGACAGACAGACAGACAGACAGACAGATAAATAGATAGATTAACTGACTTAAATAGTTTGACAAGTGGAGAGGTATACTGAAAATTTGTGCAGAGCAAAAATTATCTGAAAATGCAACATCAACTTCATTTTATCTATATAAACAAAATCATAAGCCTTAATGTTTATACTAATATACTTTCCCATGTGGCTTCAATGACCTTTTTATATATTCTGTTTAACTTCATGTAAGGTGTACTTCATTACAGACTTCACTGACCTTCCATTGTCTTTTATGAAATACACGAGAAATCAACTTGCTAAAATAATACCATAGATGAAATGTGTCTTATTTTCGGTCACCCTAATCAATGCAAAATTTTCCTCGTAAAACATGGCTGGTAAACTGATACTATAGCAAAAGTTTCCTAACCTCGAAAGACATCAAAGGGTAAAGTACTAACAGGAAATGAATATACTTAATGACAAGGAAAATCACCTATGTCCATAAGCATTACAGAAGACACCATTCAATTCAAGAAAAACATATCTGACAATTTGATCACCCCTTTAAATAATACCAAAATATCAAAAATAACACTAAATATTACCAGCAGATTTCTACACGGCCGTAAAGCTCCTCTTATAGTCGCACTAATCATTTTTGTGGTTACTTCTTGCCAGGGTCCGGGTTCCGCCTCGACTTGTTATGAAAACTTCTGTGGCTCCGTCTGCTACGCGGGTTATAGAATTTATAGCATTATGTGTGTATCTTCTCTTCAGTGATAGGTGTATATAATAAATGTAGATTTTATTGATAGCTGTAAATTCAGATATTCATACGGAAAACGGTGGAAAAATCAGTCTTATATATGAATGATGTTAGCAATGGCGACTCCATTTATTGATATGTATATAATATTTTAAAAAATAACCTGCATTCGGCAACAACTTCGTTCACAAACCTAGAAAATATCAGAGCTCCAGGTATTGCGATATAAATGTTGTGCCTGCGCCCTTCCGCCCTCACGTTCAGCCAATTCGGGCGGATTATGCGGCGATGTGCACCCAAGGTCTCGATAAGCACTTACTTTTAAATACTTATATAAACCTTGTGTGTACCTGACCTCAATCTCGTAGAGCTATTTCCTGTGGTCATGGTAAATCATGACCACAGTTAGGGTTGATAAAACAAGAAAAACATTATGATGATGACAAAAGCAGTCAGAGGATAATTTTTTTTTTAATAAATAAAAAAATGATTATGACATACATGTTGGATTTTTATCAGTGGTTCAAAGGACCTTTTACACTGTTAAAGGGACTTGGTATATAGCTTAAACATTTGGTGTCAAAATGTTAACCATATTTGTTTTACGACACCTTTGCAAAGCCTAGAGAGCATGATTCGATTACCATGCATTTTCAGAGATAATGCTATAACTAAATGGTTAGTTGGATTTTTTTCAAGTACTCATCATGACCTCTTTCAAGGTGAAGCTATAGTATCTGCTTTGCCTTGATGTAAAAATCATTGTAGTGTAGATTTACGACAAACATTTAATTCTCCACGCGACATTTACATTGACATTTATCTACAGAGTTACTGTTAATGATATCATCTCTCATTATTCACACTCAACATCAGTTTTTCCTTCTTTAATTTCTCATATACCGTTCCAGACCCTTCGGCAAAAAGTTCATCTCAGTCCGCCCGCCGCCCACCGTTCTCTGTGAGGATCCCCCCACAGAGGACGTGGCTCCTCGGCTCGGCTGCCTGTCGACGTGTGCGGCGGGAAGGGCTCAGGGCGGTCGCCGTGGCACTCGGGACGCTCGCTCAGGCACTCGGGGCTGGCAAGATGATGCTGAAGGCTGTGATACTCATTGCTGGGCCTCAGAAAGGTGAGAGAAATGTTTGGTTTGTTTGATGACCGTCTACCCCCGATAACTGTTTAGAGGTTGTATTTTATGAGCAGTTTTAAGGTAAATGTTCATGATGAGGACAAGCACTTTCGGGGAGATGATAAATTCTTTTATCAGGGTAAAACACAACAAAAAGAGGTGTAGGTTCGCAAATTCCGGAAACCAGCCAATAACTTGCAAATCAACCACAACACATAAACTAATGAGACCTTCAGCTAAACATAAACTTATTATTATATTATTGTCCTAATAACTCCCTCCCCAGGACCCCTGTTAATGGGATTAATGGGAGCTTTGTGCTTAAAGCCTTATGAAAAAAATATCTCACTCTTACACTCCCTTCGCTGTCTATCCATATCTGTCTCAAAATCAGTCCATCACTTTGTCATTCTTTCAGTTTGCTGATAAATCTTTACGGTATAAAAGCACTGATAACTCAATGTCACAAAATGCATTAAAAAATCTAAGTTGCAGTGACTGCATTTGCCCAAGGAAAACATGAGGTTAATCTTTGCAGCATGGACACACTAAGATAGGTCAAATTGAAGATAATATTCTTGTAGAGGGCAAAATGTTGCAGTTGTTTGTACAGGAAATAACCAACAGACATGAACAGTAACACCACAAATAAAGGAAAATCATGGACAAGTCTACTCACAGCCTAAGTCCACTTGGTGCTTCATGACATAGAGTTGGGGACTTAGTCTCTAGCAAGAGTGGGATTCAAATAAAAGTTTATCAAATATTGTCTTCACCTCAATATGCATAGCAACATATAGCTAAAACTACTGAGCACTGAGTAGACTTACGCTGTCAGTCATGGTTTCTGCGATCTCTGTCTCTTTTTCTTTCTCTTTTTCTTTCTTTCTCTTTTTCTTTCTCTTTCTCTTTCTCTTTCTTTTTCTTTTTCTTTTTCTTTTTCTTTTTCTTTTTCTTTTTCTTTCTCTTTTTCTTTCTCTTTCTCTTTTTCTTTCTCTTTCTCTTTCTTTTTCTTTTTCTTTCTCTTTCTTTTTCTTTTACTTTCTCTCTCTCTCTCTCTCTCTCTCTCTCTCTCTCTCTCTCTCTCTCTCTCTCTCTCTCTCTCTCTCTCTCTCTCTCTCTCTCTCTCTCTCTCACACACACACACACACACACACACACACACACACACACACACAGATAGATAGATAGATAGATAGATATAGATACATACATATATACATATGTATATATATATTTACATATAGATATAGATACATATTTACATATAGATGTAGATACATATTTACATATATATAGACATATGTATATATACATATATATACACAAATATACATATGTATATTTATATACATATTTATATATACATATACACATACACATACACATATACATACACACACACATATATAAATGTGTGTGTGGGTACACATTCTTTTCTTTTATTTTACTTTGTATAATATAAAAAAAGTAAGTGCAAGCCCACTCATCAAAATGGGCTTTCCAATTTCATTGTACTGCCATTAAAACACTATAAACAAACCTCTATCATGTACATTTTATCAACATAAAGTTTGGAAAATAACCCCCCTGGTTAGTTGCTGTTTAACCAAGGAACCAATTTGTTGATTCTGAACTTTAAAGGCACTGAGACCACTGCTATTGCTAGACGTATCATCTCAGGTAGATGCAATCTCATGTTGAGAATTACTGTAACATTTAAAATTAATAGAATATTTAAATCCATACTATTTTTATACATGATACTGTATTGAGATATTTTTTGCTATATTAGGTTATTGATTATTATTATTATTATCATTATTATTATTATTATTATTATTATTATTATTATTTTCATTATTATATTTTATTATTATTATTATTATTATTATTATTATTATTATTATAGAGTTGATAGGTTCAGTTGTTAACCCATTCGCCACGCGTGGCAAGAATAGATGCCATACCCACTTTGAGACACGTTTATTTATTGTATTTACACCTAGATGGCTCTACAAGTTCTTAATCACCAAATAGCCAGTTATCAAGAACTACCTATTTCACCTGTTTACCCTTTTTCTTCACTTTCGGAAAGGGTTTTTTTGTATCATTTCATTATCAAAAATATTCTAATGACAATTCAATCATCATAACATCAGTAACAATAATAACAGCATCGAAAGCAATGATATTAATTTCACTGCCAATTCAATAAATGGGAAAATCAGGGTCGGTAACTAGGGCCTACTGATAGACTCCTTGCCGGCTGAGTACATGTGGAGCCATCTGTAGGTAGCAAAATTCACCAATAACAACAGGGGACAGAACATAAATCCGTGGCGAATGGGTTAATGCATGAATATCCAAAATATTTAAATGATAATAGGAATACTGTCAAGAAGACATGTAAGTGATAATATAAATGTCATTTTAATTACTGAAATCAAAGGTAAGTGCAATTGTAATTTTTACTTTCTTTCATAATTAAAAGCAATGCTGTAAGTAAAATGCCCTAATTTTAATTTTAAATTAGTTTTGACAGGATTAAGTAAAAGAATCTGATTAAAAAAAATATTTATACTGTATTAAGAACGTGATGAAATATAAAGAATGAATTTAACTGTCATATAGATTCACAAGGACTGAAGTTCTTTTATATTTACTCATTTTCTCAATAATGTGATACTTTCTTTGAAGCTTAAGTGAACCTTGAACTCATTCTCAAAGGTTAGGAGTTTTATTGAAGTTTAAGAATAAATATATGCAGTATAAGTCAGTAATATGATTTTATTGCACTATACAGCAGTAAGCTTGAAAGTTGATAATGTAAGAGAGAAATGGAGATATATATTTTTTCCCATGAAATGTGTTTGAATTTAATGGGGAAGGATGTGATGATTATCAGAAAGAAATGAAGTACTTTCATTTAACTCATATCATTATTATGAATTGATGTGTTGATATATAATGACATTTCTCTTCTTTCACGTTAAAGAAACAGGGAAAATTAGGCAATGGCAACTGGTATGTGTGGATTGCTTCTTGCATCACAAAAGCAAGTTCTCAAATTGCCGATATGGATGAGATGAAGCAACAAGTATCTCTTGATTTTTGTGTTGTGGTAATAACAAGTAAATGGTGTTTATGTAGCTGTTGAATTGTCCTTAACTCTTCAGTGACTGTGATAATATATAAGATTCTTTTCTTTCACATACTTACAAATGTTGCTTTCTTCAGACCAGACACCATGGTTCTTTTTTGGTGAGTGCATTTGAAATAAACCCCTTTGTAGGGTTTAGATATATAAAGTAAGACAAGTGCAATAAGTTGTAGTTACGGAAACCTGTATAATTTTACTTAGTATTGCAATTTTATGACAAAAGAGTTATTCTTGAGTACATAAATTAGTTCTGTCAGTATATTTTCCCTAATATGTACTGTTGTAACCTGTAAAAATACAGAAATTCTACTCCGTTAACTTGTATCATATTAGAAAGTGCTTTCAGTTTTGATTTTACATAAATTCAAGCATTTATGTATCATGCATATATGTTTACCTTTAGCCAAATATTAAGAAAGAAATGTGTCTCATAGAAGGAAATACTGTAATTTTTATATTTTCAATGAAGCGAAATATATATTTTTTTAATAGGACTTTAGCTAAATTTCGATGTATTTTCCAGAAAAAAATTGCATATGCAAAGATAGTGTTTAAAGGAATACTAAAAGGTTTCTTATTTACTGGGATATTTGTACAGTGTAGGGAAAGTTGATATTTAGATTACATACCAGGCATTACCTGGTATTTTTTTAGTTATGTGCTTTATCAGGAAATTTTTCGCTTAATTTTCTCAATGAATATATAAAACTTTGAAAAGTTTGAAAAAGAAGAGACATGTGGTTTCAAGAAGTTGTGAATCTGCACTGTTTCACTTAAAAAAAAAAAAAAAAAAAGTACTGTAAATTGTCATGTGCAGACAACATCTTTGAGAATTTGTGTAGTAGTTCTTTATTTTTTAACCTTCCTCTGGGGATGACATATACATCCTTGTCATGCCCTCTTTGAGTTATTAATTGTCTTTGCACACAGACCTTACATGAGCCAGTTATGAGTAGTACCTATCTCACCTTTTTACCCATTTCTGCAACTTTTGGAAATATATTTTTGTATCATATATTACTGCTAGTAATATCAATAACATTTTGATAATTATGATGTCTATAGTAATAATAACAGCTTTAATATTGATAG